GTTGGCTACTTTGTGGAGACTTAAAAGTCCTTCATATGTTGTTGGGTCAACAATCCGGTTGTACAAAGTTATTTTTTGTGTGAATGGTACAGCAGAGCGCGAAATCAGCACTGGATAAAGAAGCAATGGGCCATGCAGAGTCAAACTGATACCAGAATCGAAAAACATTGAATGTGAAAATTTAATTGACACAAAGAAAGTCCTATTACCTCCACTTCACATAAAATTGGTCTTGATGAAGCAGTCTGTAAAGGCCTTAGACAAAGATGGCGACTGTTTCAAGTATCTATGTGAGCAATTCCCAGGTCTTTCAGAAGCGAAACTTAAAGAAGGGATTTTTTTGTTAGGCCTCAGATTAGGAAATTGACTTCTGATGAACAGTTCGAAAGAACAATGAAGAAAGTTGAAAAAGAAGCGTGGATTGCCTTTAAAGATGTTATTGACAAAATATTTAGAGAAAAATAAAAACCCAAATTACAAAAATATTGTCAATAACATGGTCGATAAATTCAAAAGTTGAGTTGTAATATGAGCTTGAAAGTTGATTTCTTACACTCACATATTGATTATTTCCCTGAATATCTCGTCAACGAAGAACAAGGAGAAAAGTTTCATCAAGACATCAGGGAACTTAAGAAGAGGTATCAGGGAAGGTGTAACATCAGCATTGGCTGATTACTGCTGGTCATTGAAACGAGATGCTCCAAACACAATACGTAAAAAATGTTTGTTTGTAGTTAAGCATAAAGTTACACAATTTGCTATCTGCCCACCACGGGTATCGAAACCCGGCTTCTAGCGTTGTAAGTCCACAGACATACCGCTGTGCCACTGGGGAGCAATACGTAAAAGAAAAACTACAACAAGTAGTTTTGTGACTAAAAGACGTAGATTTCACACACGCACACAACCACACAAATCAGGATGAATATTCGTTTGACATCAATGTTTTTCCCTTTTCTTCAGTTTGTTTGTACGTTTGTTAACAAACATAATAATACAAAATGTTCATTGTAAACGAAATAATAATTTTATCTAAGAAAGAGTTTTTTCTTCCCGATTTGTAAAAAATTCTTACGTAATAGAAAAAAAAATGAATATTATTTTCGAAATCTGCGTAGCTGAATTATGGAAAATCCGTTATTAAAACCAAAATAACTTTTATGAAGTTTAAATTCGCAGGTCTGTGTAATTTAAAGTGTAAGAGCTAAGTGGAATACAAATAAAACGTTCATCGCTCAAGTAGATTTTATTACAATACGAAATTAAGTAATTACTCTTCTCATTTGTTTCAAATGTTGAAGCTAATTATTATCTAATTATGACGTCAGCTCTTGTACTTTGAATTTGATTATTAAAAGAGTGGGTAAAAATGATTTTGGCTAGAATTTCAGGATAAAATCAAACCGAGCTTAAAATTCCTGGGAGCTAATTTTGAAATTCAACTAATGTGCTATTATCATGAAAAAGAGTAACCCAAAAGAAACACATTATATTAAATACTCAAAGTTTAAGAATGTCAGCTATGATAAAACACGACAAATGGCTATCACAACATTTAGGACATTATTTCGCACGTGGTCATGTTGTAGTTATTTTAAGTAATCCTATAATAGAAGAGGTTATTAGGTAGATTTGTCATAATCAACAATACTTATTCTTTGTTCATTCAACTTGATACTTGTGGATAAACAGGAATTTAAAAATGAAAACGATAACTTACTTGAAATAACATTACACTCGTATTTCGTTTGTGTTCAAAATAATATTAGTTCACTTTTTTAAACACCACTATTTGCAAGCCACATGTGTAGATAAGTGCAAGCATCAGGAAATAAATTATCGTTAGATAAAAAAAAACATATGTAAAGCTGGCTACTGAACTTGAAAAAAGAACCAAACAAGATAGGGATGGATTTGGACATATCACTTGATCCGGCTAATGATCACATAGCAGACTAAGCCGTCTCGAATTTACATGAAAAATAAAGAAAGTCCTTGCATTACTGGCTACCCCACTTTGTCTATTGAAAGCTTCGTGTTTGAATAGAATCTCAGCTTTCAACATTATACATTTTCTTTAGTTAACTTTAGAATACTACTTTTATGACTATTGTACAATACAATAACATTTTACGATTGAAAATTCAAGTTCTATTTGTTTTGCCAGTGAGGAGTAATGTAAAATGGCACATATAGAGCGACTATGCCAGGTAACTCTTGATATCTTGCTTCTGATGACCTGTACGTGTACTGATTTTTTTTTTTTTACTCCTTCACTTCATACATAATATAGGGAGTTGGCTCCCTAAAGACACCAATTGTATAGTGTACAAACCACTGAGTATTCTACATGTTATAACCATCAAATGTTTATCTATTACTGACTGGTAATTTCTGTTTCTCCCTATACTTAAGGTTTTTAAAGGAACACCATATTTCTGTAAGAAAACTAGCTTCAAGGAGTAATAGCTAGGGATGCAAGGGGACTAGGCCAGATATTCGGCCCCGGCCGGGTATTGGGCTACATGGTAATAATCGGCCCCGGCCCAGTGTGGAAGCTAGACATCTAAGCCTTAATCTTTGTGGCAACTAACGCGGTACTGAAAGTTACAGTCAATAATTGGTTTAGTTATTTTAAAAAACGTGTTCTGGGCAACAAAAACTGACCGCCCACTGAAAGTCGAGGATTCAAAGAACAATAGGGGTTAATAACAAGAATGGCTTGAGAAGTGGATTTCTGGGGAAGATGGGGGTTTTGAGAACAATAGGGGGTTAGGGTTTGAGAAGTTGTGGTTAGGCATTGAAAGTAAAACTTGAATGTTCTGTTGGTGATTATTCGGTTAAATGTAATAAACGTCAGTTTTGTTTTTATTTCTAATTCTATGTATGTTGTTTTTTTTAGGAGGGCAAGGGGAGAACCCGGTCCCGGTTGACACCCGGCCCCGGCCAAAGCTTAGTGACCGCGTCCCAGGACACGGTATTTGGCCAAGTTTTACTACACGTGCATCCCTAGTAATAAGATTGTTTACATTGGAATCATGATGTTTTCTTTTTTTTATTTTGCATAAAATATTAATGAAATATGTAGTCAAATATCGTGAAAACTTTTTTGCTCTATCAAATGAGGATAAAATTATAGTTACTGCTAAAACTAAGTAGGCGCTAAGCTTGATGAACGAAAATAATAAGAAATATCGGTTTTGGCTATTCACCGGTTTTCGATTTGGAGAAGTACTGGATAGCTGAAAAGCGGCATATACACCGGAGATAGAGCGCCTATGCCAGGTAGCTCTGTATATCTAGTCTCTGATGACCTATAGAGAAGAATACCCAGATGACTTTTGTATTGCTTTAATATGGGCGTCTGTGCCATCCCTACATAGAGTCTACTAGCGCACTCTCCGACAGTTAATGTTTTGAGACAATATATATATATATACACGTGTGATTCTACCTAAACATATTTGAAACTAAAACTTAATGTGTTACTGTGCATTACTTATTATTAAGAACTCAACAGATGGATAAGTCCACCCATCATTTTTCTTTATGTTATTCGTTGTTGTTTGAATGACATCTGACACAGACATTAGACGAAATGCAATAACGAACTTGAAAAAGACCTACCACTGAATAAGTGAAGCTCCACATTTAGTCATCCCAAACCTCCTAACGGTGACGTGTAGCTCTACATTCAACCGCGTTTTTGTGAAATGTTTAAAAGGATAGTTAATTGGAGAACAGACATGTACTTGTTAGTTCTAAAATTACTTTTTTACCGGATTTGCATAAGATGTACGTGAATGTGTTACAAGTTTTGGTTACTTTCCATTTAAGGAATGACCATCTTGAAATGTTTACATTAAATACAAAATATTTAAATCCAGAGTTCTATTACGAAATTCCATTGATAAACCAAGAAATATTTCTGTTTTACGCCACTTAGACTGTATGACTCAGTCTGAAAACACATAGTTCAATTTGCACTAAACATATTGATTTGGAAAGCATGACAAACGCCATGTCACAGTGATATCTATAGTAGCTGCAAGTATCGAAATGTAAACACGGGAATACCCACAGTTACTCTAAGTGTCGAAATGTAAACACGGGAATACCTACAGTTACTCTAAGTATCCACTTAGAGTAACTGTAGGTATTCCCGTGTTTACATTTCAACACTTAGAGTAACTGTAGATATTCCCGTGTTTACATTTCGACACTTAGAGTAACTGTAGATATTCCCGTGTTTACATTTCGACACTTGCAGCTACTGTAGATATTCCCGTGTTTACATTTCAACACTTAGAGTAACTGTAGGTATTCCCGTGTTTACATTTCAACACTTAGAGTAACTGTAGGTATTCCCGTGTTTACATTTCGACACTTAGAGTAACTGTAGGTATTCCCGTGTTTACATTTCTTGAAATGTAAACACAGAAATACCTATAGTCGCTACAAGTGTTGAAATGTAAACGCAAAAACCCCTACAGTCGCTACAAGAATTGAAATGTAAACACAGTTTTCTAGTTTTACCGCTTACATCTTCAACCTTACCTGCCCTTCCTAAACTTGTATTCTTTGCTATCCCAAAAGGTACTTGCTAATTACTTGGAGGTAACTCTGAACACTCGTATTATGAACAACAAGTGTTTCATATCCCATATCGTTATTTTACCTACGTTTTTGTTCCTAATAATCAATCAATATCGGCGAATAGAAAGCTCATTGTAAACTCAAGCGAGATTATATACAAAATATTTATGAAATTGTTAGTTAATAATTTGCTTTAAGATATCCATAAAAAAATAAAAAATTAACAGAATTAACTCTTCTTAATCCATATGAGAGCTTATTCTACTAAACAAATGAATTTCAGTTTAGACAGTTCTATAACACATTGAATTATATTTTCATACGTTTAGACCAACTGCACCTGATAAGATACATATAAGGTTCTAACATTCGGAAAATTTATATGTCGAATACAAGCTTACCTGTTGCACTTTAGTAACGAAAGAGCAATGAATAAGAAAATAGGACAGGAATGAGACAGATCGGGCGTCTTTGTTCTGACAGCAAGCTCAGTCCACAAGGAAATGAAGATGTTGATCTGGTTAGTTGAACTAAATATGTCATGGATCCTTACCTAACTCGCGACAGTCTGCGCATGTACAAAACACAAGGAACAAAACTGCTATCTACAGACATACATTACTTCCTACTGGTCACCTGTTAGTGACATCACATGACTGAGTAGGAGGAGAAGGAGTTTCCGTCTCTAAAAGGATTTTTTTTCCCTCTTTAGTCTTTGAAAATTGTGAAGTTTCAAGAAGTATAATCGCGATTTTTTTTTAATCCAGGACTCATTATTAGTTTCTGACGACTGAGTGGTGTTGTCATATTTATTATTATTATACTACTATTTACTGGAGATGTCTATATACTGCATTACATAGGATAATTTCATAATTTTGTCTGTTACAAAACTCGTTTTAAAGAACTGACCAAATATTGGGTGAAATTACCTCTTTTATATCAAATGAATAAGAGATTCTGTAGTATTCTCAGGTGCTCTAGTTACTTACAGATGAGAATAGCAACCAAAATACAGAGAAAATGGTAAAAAACGATATATAGGATTAAAACTAAATTTCTGACTATTGAGCTTAAAAAAACGAGACTGTACGCAATATAAACAAAGCGAAAAACAAATTAGTTTATCTTAAAACACAGGTCAAACCTGAGATGTGCATGAGAAGCTGAACAACACTATTCTCTAGGATCTAGAAAGAGTTCTAAATTAGAACTGATTTTAGACTTAGAAAATTAATCACTACAAAGAAATTAGAATATGATCAGTCATCACAAAGTGCACTTGGAGGTTCAGTAAGTAAAAAAATAGGATAACGTGTGAGCTAGGCGTTTCTAAACCCCAAACATTTGATCTCCAGTGACAACTTTTATGGAAGAGTTTAGCAAAACTAAAGGGATCTTATTTGTGATAATATGTAACTAGAACCCTAATATGATAAAGACAAAATAAAAATTAACACACAACGTTAAAATAGTTACACAATTAAAAACATTTGAATTAAGACCAATCTATGACCTCTTAAAATGAAACCTTGGAAATAATTAAATATAAAAAAGATCATGTATTATTAAATAGAGATGAAGATCGGCGAATATCTATCCAAAAATGTTGGGTGACCTTCTCTAAAAAGTTCACACTGGAACTGTAAACCTGTACATAGGTCACATGACCTATTTAACAAAAAAAAAGTATAAATAAGACAAGATTATGTCTTGCAACTCACTTCTGAAGATGATATTTCAACGTCGAAATATGTTTACCTATTTTAATGTTGCCCCCCTCAGTGGCACAGTGGTATGTCTGGGGACTTACAACGCTAGAAACCGTGTTTCGATACCTTTGGTGGGCAGAACACAGATAGCCCATTGTGTAGCTTTGTGCTTACCTTCAAATACACAATAAACAATTTCAACGTTGTATGTTATTTATTATTTTAATATTATACACAAGTGCCAATAAATAATACTTATGGTAAATAAGTTCCAAAATCGCACTTTCTACACCCTAAATATATTTTCATATCCATACTTGTTTAAATATGAACCATTTTGTTTGAACAAAAAGGAAAAACCGAAACACTTGGTATGTTTCACATACTTATTTCTCCTTCGTTTTACATACAGGCAAAACTCGGCGATTCCTAATTGTAAACTCTAAAATATAATCATATTAAAAATAAAAACCGTAATCCTGGCTATGCAATTGCAATATATTAACTTTTCACCTGTAGAACCTGTGCACCGTGCAAAATGCAGGCGAGACAAACAAACATAACCCTTAAACAATAGTCATGAAATAGCAATTTATAAAACAAACAAATATAAAAGTTCTTTAATAAAGATTAATGAACATAACGTTACAATACCTCGTATTCGCTTTAACATTTCGAAAAAAAAGAGTAAAATTACACAAATGATGCCTACCATCGTACTTTAAAGTCAACTTGCGATACAAAACATTCCTTTAAAACATACCGAATACTATGTAATTTATGCACTTGTAAACATTATAAAAATAACTAACAATATATGGGATAATGTTTATCATAATTTTAATGTACAAAACTTAAAGATGAATAACTTGAAGATGAAGGATGATTGTGATCACACTCACCATTTGCATAATATAACGACACTTCGAAATAGCTATGACAATTCACCAAAAATGTAAAATAATATTTAAACATTTAAAATGCCTTAAAATAAAGTTGATTAAGATGTAAGTTACCGAAGATGAAAAATAACTATTATTCATTATTCATAATATTATTAATAATATCTACAAATTATAACATTAAAGAAGAAGCTTGTACAGTGTGGTAATCTCTTAGAGTGAAATGTCGAACATTCAATAAAAACCTCTCTAAGGTGTCAGTAGACTTGTGGTTGACTGTAGTTGTCTCTTGAGTATTATCCTTAGCCTTTGGGTCAAGCTTGTTTTTGTTTTGTTTTTTGCAAGCATTGAAAAGATCTGGTGAAGTGCTCTCGCCATCCTGCCTTTCTCAAGATGGACATGGTCCAAGCTTTCATATACTTTGTTGTATAAACCTAGCAAAGGGTGTTTGAGAATTATTTCCAGCTGGAAATGGTTTTAATGCTACGGTCAGAAACTCTGGATGTAGGAACATCACTGACTGAAGCACCATTTATGAAGAAATTAATTCCCCACTGTTGACATCCACAGTGACAGTGGTCAACAGGATTGTCAGAGTAAATAGCAAATGACCCTCTCTGGTTCCTTTGCACCTACCCAGACTTTAACTTTGTAAAATATTCTCGCTTTTGGTATATAATGGTCCTGCCAGAGGTATGTGTACTCTTGCTACAATGTTTACGAATTTTTTGACAACCCCCAATGGGACACATTTAGAGGCCATGTTGTCTTCTCATATTTTTCTCTCCTTTGACTGGTAATGTTTCTTCTGTTGGTATAGTAGACACTCATTGGTTGTGGAATGGAAAGTTTTTCGTTACAGTGTGGTAGGGATAGACAATGATTTCTTGTCCATAACTGGCATGGCTACTAAAGTGTGTAAAACTATGAGTGCTGCTGATGGTGGTGATAGTCTCGATGGCGCTTCCGATCCCAGAGCTAGTTTGTTTGTGACCTCCACGAGACTCTATTCATTATTGCCTCTGACGAAGACCTTAAACAAATTATAATGGACGGGAACGTCACATTCACCTAGAGCATATATATATAAGTATATTAGACTTAACTGATAACCTTAGGTTAGCACTTTTTTTCACACGTGTTAGTAATTTGCTTTTAGTGGAACCAATGTAGTCCTACTGACAACAAAAAAAGACTGTAAAGCTGGAATTTGGTCCTTGAATTTAAAGAAAGAACTAAGGCGACAATTAGGTTTGAAAACATATCTCAACTGTATCTGCAAGTATACCCTACAAATAACATTTTTCTGCTGATTCTTAATGATCAAACAATATTTACCTATAAAAGATGGACTAATAACCAAAGGATATTTAGGTACATCAAAAATATAAAATGTTACCACATTTCCCTTATTCTATCGACATAACTTGGCAAATCATTTTTACACAATAATTATTTGATATTCGTAAATTCTTTATGTAATAAAATAATAAATAATAATTCCGAAGATTGTTTAATCTCGAAGTTTAAGTTCAAGGACGGGCCAGTTCAATCTACACTTTGATCAACGTGTGTTATTAGATTATATTAGTTTCGAATAATTCCACACCTCATTAGCTTATCTCGAAGTCTAAGTCTATATCTGATATTGTGCGACTATTTCGTGTGAAGAACTGAATAGTGGCCGATGACACTTATTTCTTCACTTTACACATAAATTGTCTACTGTTATTATAAATTGTCTACTGTTATTATTAATTGTCTATTGTTATTATAAATTGTCTACTGTTATTATTAATTGTCTACTGTTATTATTAATTGTCTAGTGTTATTATTAATTGTCCACTGTTATTATTAATTGTCTATTGTTATTATTAATTGTCTACTGTTATTATTGATTGTCTACTGTTATTAT